AAGCAACAGAATTCCCCGAATTTTTACATATTGTTAACATAATGGACATCGTTCTTTACATTTAGTACCAATTCTCAAATCAAGGGTTACAGAAGGGAAGAACTACAAAGAAACTCTTTGCCACAAGTTTTTTCGTTTTGAGATTGGGCTTGTAACGAGCTCCAACCAGTACTCGCGCTAAATTGTGCAAGAGTTATTAGACGAAGATCTACTTCCAAAGCCAATTAAAGTAATTAAAGGAGAAAAATAAATTTATTTGTCTTTGATAATACGTATGTTATTTCGCACATTGTTACAATTGATTCTAGCTTTTCGAATTTGAAACTATTTGAACTTAGTCACACGGGAATGAACTAGATTGTTGAAGTGCTTTTGCCCTTTGGGAATAACGTCCAATTTTATGTTTGTGGTCCTGCACTTAGCTTTTATCGAGTTCGTTATAACATTGTTGTTTTAATTAACTATTGTTATAATATTGAATTTTTACATTAAAGTATGTAAGATATTTGGGAATTTAAATGACTAAGTTTTTTAATATGTTTGAGAATTTTAACTGTCACTTTATAGATTCTTTAGTGATAACCTCCTTGAGTTAAATGTTTCACATTTTTAAATTAATAGCTGGAAAGTTATGATTATAAAATTAATTGTCATTCTTTAAATATTTACTAAGTTACATAAATCATTCTGGATTATTATATTTTAAGTTAAGTATCTGTTACAATAAAAAGCAGTGTTGGCCTAGTGGCTTCAGCGTGTGACTCTCATCTCGGAGGTACTTGGATGCTCTGTGCACCAATGGACTTAAAAAAACAGCGGAATGCATGTCATGTCACAAATCCAAAAATCGAGGACATGTGTTAGGCTGATCACCTACTTACCAGGAAATAAAAATGATCAACGAAACGGTTCCAATCTGAGGCCAAACCCCATATTGGGTTGTAGCACCACAGGATTAATATTCTTATTATTATTTGTGGTACAATGAATGAAACGTTTCATTCGTTGTACCGATAACATTATCTATATTCAATTTACTCTAAAGGCTTACCCTCCTTGATTGGATCCATTTTCTATTAAAATTAACTATATTTTTTAATAATAATGACTTAGTAGTAATAAGTAGCAATTATTTTACAACTAGCTGTTCCCCGCGACTTCGTCTGCGCAGGATTAGTATTTCTAGTATCTTTTATTAGCGTGGCGTAGAAAAGAACTAACATTATGACTTTCGACTAGTATTAGTGTCTTTGCACGACACTTTTTTGTCCGCTATGGGTTGTTTTGTAACTAGGTAAGTCTAAGGAATATAAAAACTGTACCCCGCTTGTCCTTTCCAAAAAAATATCTGGTACTGGAGAGAATCATAAAATCTATGAGTGTCTGGAACTCTAGTGAGCCGACCATTCACTTTACTAGTAACTACTACGGCAGCTATTTCGTTTGTGGTCGGGGCATTGAATCGTCTTTCGTGTTCACCACGTGGTACACGATCAGCGTGTATCACAACCTTGTAATTATCGCTAGTCACTCTATCTTTTAAATTCATTATATATAAATAAAATAAAAATGAAGTATCTTTTTGTACGTGTAACTCCTAACCAAAAAAAACCTGCCAATAACTAACCTATATTAATACAATGTGTTTTTAAGAAATCGCTAAGTAGTGTCTTGAAAATTTGCAAAACGGTCACAACCATCAACTACGTCTGCCCTCACGCGTCTGACTCTGCCCACCAGTGTTGCCAGTCTGAAACCTAGCGGATGGTAGAATGCTTCTAAAAATATGGTAGATTTTCCGAAATTATGTTGTAATTTATATTTGAAATACGGCCTACCGTATTACCTATAATTACCTTATAAATTTTTAAGTATGTTATGAATCAGAGTTGAAAAATAAGACATATTTTTTTAATCAGAATCAGACAGTATAATTGTTTCAATATTTTTATAAATACCTATAAATATTATGTTTTTCAAAGGGAGGGAGTTGGATTAAAATTAATACAGTTTTTTTCCGTGTCGCTGTATGGCCTGCTGCGATAAAAGATTACCCTTGATGGATTTTGTAAGAAGTTTGTTCCGTTTTGGTGTCGTTAACACTGCTGAAAACTCTATCACACTCAGCATTCGAATGTGGTAGAGACAAAAAAGTATTCATAGAAATTTATATACATACAGCTCTACCGAATTCGATCGCGTAATATCTTCCAGCTGGAATCACGCTATTGGGGAATCCCCGACGCATAAAACAGTTGTCAGTAGAATAAAACGAATATGCCTTGATTAAAAAAAATGGTGTGTGTACTAATGTACGCGCGTAAGAAGTTATACTTCTTTAGCTTTCTTTATTTTTTTTTAAATATTAAATAATTTATAATAAATATTTAGCGTTAATAATTTAACAATATTTAATATTTAGTATATTATTCAATTATTAATTAATATTAATAATAATAATTATTTTATTATATTATTAATTCAATTTAATAACTAGGTATGTTTCATAACCTTTTAACTAAGTAACAATAGGTCTTTGTGAAAAAGCATTGCTAAATTTCTTTGAAAAAATAATTTAAACTCCTTTATTTGTTTAAAAGGTACTACAAATGTCATTATGGTCATTCAAAATTCTTGGCATAGCTGCTAACGTCACGCATATTCTATTTCTTTTTACTTGTAGATTGTCTTATTCCCATCTTGCTCGCGCACGCTCGGCGACCATACTGATGATTTTGTGTCAATTGTCCAAAATTCACACAATATGTATCTTAATCAATTGTAGCCTTTGTGTTATTCTGATGTATAAGCTATATTATTGTAAAGTTTCATTAAAATCCATTCAGTAGGTTTTACGTGTAAGAGTAACAAACATCCATCTTTCCAACATTCGCATTTATAATATTAATAGGATGTTCGCACATAGTACATACGGTCATCTCTTTGTATATTTCCATAAAAGATTTGTTTTTTTTTAAATATAAAAATGACGTCTGAAAAACTATCACAGATATTTTTTCGTTTATTTATGATGTAATATTTTCCAGTATAAATAAAATATCAGAGCACATTGTGTCGGCCAATTTAGCCTGATTGCGTAATAAATATAAAAATACCTGCTTCTACAAAAGTTCGACGAGAGTAGATGTAGACTACACATATATATATTTATACATTTAGCAGACATACTCGAAACTACTAAACAGATTAGCATGTTGTAAATATACCTTTATTAAATCGTAATGAACCTCCATTTTCATAGAAATAGGTAACGATTGTGAAACATTCAGATGGTCCATGCTATGTCTTTCAAAAATTGATGAAACGGCCGACTATATTAAAACCGGTGCATCGAGGCCTGCATCGTTTTGGTTGGGATAATGAAAATCGCAGAACTGCATTCTCAATAACCTCTCGAAATGCTTGCAAAGAATATTTAAGTTCTTGGCAATTGTTTACCATAGTAGAACTACAAATGATAGTCTTATTTTTTACCTTAACCAATATGGCGATAGTTCTTACATTTATAACCTATCTGTTGTTCTTGTATAGAAGTGTTATTCACAATTAAATTATATATCTAAAAATGTCTTTACCTTTGTAAGTATTTCTATATCTGTTCGTCTCGCCCGCTAGTAAATGTAAATTTAAAATCAATTTAACATCTTTTCTATTGACGTTCATAGGCGTACTTGGTTACCTATATGAATAAAGTTATTTTGAGTTAGGTGTAAAGTGCAAAGCACGAAGAGAGTCGGCGACGATTGTGCATTGTTCAAAAGTTGTTATAATTGTATATCCTATCATAACAAATAAGTCGATCTACTTTATGTTGCATGTACGACGGTTATTTTGTGTATGGAAACTAATATTTTATAAGGTACGAGTTTTTGTTAAATAAAACGTAATTGTCATTGGAATAAAATCAAAAACAATAAGGTAAGAAAGAAACTTACTACTGTTTATGAGAAGGTTTTTACTTTTTTCTGCGGCACTTCACTTTAAGTGATATCTAAGAAAATTCTATTTGTTTTTAGCAAATATTAATTCACATTTATTTGTACCTATAATTAATTGGTGTTTCTACCCCTAGGTTCTTAAGCTACTACCACTATTAGACATCACTTAATTCATGTTGGGTTTTTACAAATCACAACTGTTTAATTTGTATGACTTCGGATTAGTACGCGCGCATAAGGGATAGGCAACTGCGCGTGGCCAAATAACATTACAATTTCGATCACAGCGACAAATCGACTGAGAGTTCAAAAACCAAAAGGTATGTAGGGCAGGACAGGGGCTGGCGCGCGGGGTCTTTTGCCTACTACTAGATGTATATATTTCCCTTCTTTTCGCACAACAGCATAACACAAAATAGCAACGTCTCTTGTATAAATGGTCAATGTGAACTATCCATCGTATTTTACTACGTACAATATGTTGTTTGTTGTAAAAAACATTATTGTGACCAAACGGCTTAACCGATTTAATCAAATTTTGAAAATTGTTTAAGATCGTTGAACTCTTGTGCGTTATCATGGCAAAGGGATTACCTACGAAACAGATTGTGTGTGTTAATTTACGCGTGGTGATAGATAAAGTATTTATATATATGTAGTATATTTATTTAGATATAAGCTATTCAAGTATAATTGCAATTAACGAAATAATACTGTTCCAAAAATACTTATAATCGGGTCAATGGTCGTGGATTGTTGGGTTATCATAATATATCTACTTTATGCATCGTTATTGGCCGTCTTTTTATAAATATTTTCCATGTCTAAGTAAACTTATACCTAAAGAAAACCAATTGTGTTATAAAATATGTTTTCCCTATTAATTCAACATAGATGTTTATATATACGTCAATAATTGATTGGAGCTATAGTTAATTGAAAAGTAAAGGTTTTGTTAAATAAGGAACATAAATAAATAAGAATAATAAACGTATTTTATTTATCTCTTACAAATACCAAAATCGATAAAATTTATGAAAATTATTTATACTGTGGTTCTCCAGTGACAATAGAACCTTCGATACCGCAATGGTTTTCCCCACGTAGAATTTTGAAGAAACCATTATCTCCCCAGTCAGAGTTCCACGAATTCGCAATGAGCCAATATTTGACTCCGTTTTCAACTCCCCAACCCATAATTTTAACAGCGTGTCCGCCCAACGCATTTCCAACCGTATGTTTATACACACCGCTTTTGTAAGTTAGAAAGTCCGAATAAACTGTGAATGCAGCCTCCACTGGGCCATTCTTATATAATTCTGCTCTGATGTGCTCTTCACCGCCTCGAACTGAGTAAATATGCTTTCCGTATAGCTTATCCCCTTTGTAGGATGATGTGTCCTGACATTTACGGAAACACTTGGGAGTTCTCGTGTCACCGCTGCATGGCAATCTGTCTCCCGGAACGTGATGTTCACAGGGTGGTATTTGGTATGGCAAGCAGCCCTGACTTGAATTGTAGTTACCTCCTGATACGATGCCAAAGTGTTTCCAGTACTCCCAAGCGAGTGTTGGCATTCCTCCGTTACAGCCGAGACCACAAACTGAGCAGCAGCTCAATAGATCTTCAGCAGAAAAATGGAAATGCTTTGTGCCATTCGAATAGATGCAATAACGATCTGTCATGGCTTCCACGGCGCCAAAAGCCCAGCAGCTACCGCATGATCCTTGGTCTCGGACTTCGTTTAACGTGGGACAGTTGGGCCATTTGTTCCTGGGATCAAAATTTTCTGATAAGTACTTAATGTCCTCTGCACTGTGTTCGACAATCGTTAATCTCGATATGAAATTATCTTCCATGGCTCCCATGAGCTTCTTCATTGTTTCGAACGTCGTTTGTGGCGGAAAGTTGCGGCCAGCGGTCCATAATTTTTGCCGTGTGTTGATGATATTAATAAATTCCTCGGAAAGTGGATCTGGTAGCTCCGCGATTGAAAAGGCGAAAACACAAACAAAAAGTAAAAGAATAGGCATACAAGCCATTTTTACTTCTTTGTTCGGTTAAATAATGAAGGAATAATTCAAGATGCGCAGCACACGGTGGTTGCGCGCTGAGGTCTGCTGCTTAACTAACTTTTAAGTGGTCACAAGTCTTTGGAATCAGGAATGTTATTGCGACGAAGCGATGCACGAACAATGTTCATGTTGATGGACATCCATATTTTTAGCAAGAACTCGATAATGGTTAAGTAAACAAATGGCAATCTGTTTTTGAAATAAATAGTCCCAATTTAATTTATCTCTTATTTGCACTATGGTTCAATGGCCAAACAACAACAAAGTTATTTGTGTGAGATTTAACAAAAATGAATAAGGTTAATTATTTTATTAGTGTGATTTCAATTTCACAACATATTAATGGCATTCTTAATGCTTCAAATAACTATTTTATTTATATAGACGTTTATATAGACGTGGATAGAATCTCACCATACTTGTTTCGATCTAATTTGCCTTAAAGGCATTCTTATTGGTTAAAATAGCTATTTTATTTAGCCTTATAAGGGGCGAATACGCAACAACTAGTATTAATCTTCATACTTTCATAACACGTTCTAATCGTGTTAAATTTTCCAGAACATCTAGAGACCTGACCATAAAATATTCATAATCTAATTTCACCATTATATCAGCTTTCAAACTTTCAAAACTTTTGAGACAATCAAATTCATAGGCACGACTAAGAAAAAGAACCCATATTTTAAACTGCGAAACTTAATTGAAGTTTCTGAAATGTTAAAGTTTTGTTCAGTTTGCTTGTGGTATATTTTATCGCGGTTAAGTTGGGCTCTTAATGAAGGCAGCTTATTAGGTACTACGGGTTTATGACCAGATGGAATTAACAACTGAATATATCCGAAAACGATTACACGTCACTAACAACAGCTGTACCCGAACATAATGCTTCATAATTATGGACTTTGATATAGTATCGAATGTCATGATTTTGATTAAAATTATGTATTACGAAAATTAGAAACAATATAGACGAAGATCTACTTCCAAAGCCAATTCAAGTAAATAAAAGAGAAAAAATAAATTTAATTGTCTTTGATAATACGTATGTTATTTCGCACATTGTTACAAATGATTCTTGCTTTTCGAATTTGAAACTATTTGAACTTAGTCACACGGGTATGAACTAGATTGTTGTAGTGCTTTTGCCCTTTGGGAATAAAGTCCAATTTTATGTTTGTGGTCCGGCACTAAGCTTTTATCGAGTTCGTTATAACATTGTTGTTTTAATTAACTATTGTTATAATGTGGCATCTTTACATTAGAGTATGTTAGATGTTTGAAATTAAATCTGTTGTGTATTGATAGTGTTGCAAATAAACGATTTTATTGTAAAAGTATACAAATAACTACGAAAAAAATTGAATACGCACCTTCATCTTTTAGTGTACATAGCGGAAAAGCCGATGATACTAGGTTGATTTTCACGCAAAGAATAATAATTGTAGTAATTGTGGGTATTAAGTAACCAGGAGTAGGTCGAGTCCCGTATACATCCCATCATCATAGCGATGCAGAACACCTTTTCTTGGTTATCTGTCTTTTTTGCTCCTTCGGGACTTCAAACAACAAGAAAATATATATCATAATATTGTATGCAGTTTTTTTATATATGAATCACAGTAGACAATACTTGACATTTATAACTGTGTCGAATAGTTTACTAGCAAGCAGCAGTCGTTAACACGTACTTGTGCCAAAATATTCCTAATTAAAAATTTTGGCACAAGACTTGTCGACTTTGACCTTATTCTAAATGTTATTTGGGATCATTTTTCAAAACTGTCCTAATTTTAAGTGTCCATTCAACTGTGCATAGCACGAATGTGAAACATGCCATTATGGTTTATATTTATTTTCATCATACAAATATATAGTATATACAATATTCATAACCTACATAATATGTCATAATAATAAATCAATTAAAAATTGATAAATGGAAAATAAATACAATTTAAAAAGTTTGGTCCCTGTGGCAGTGTGTGTACCTTTCATAGGAATCATTTCCTCCCTGTATTGCCATTATAACAATTGTATGTAATTATCTTAAGGAGGATTTAGTGTCCTTTTTTAGGAGGCAGTAAATATACCTTTATTGTATCGTAATGAACCTCCATTTTCATAGAAATAGGTAACGATTGTGAAACACTCAGATTGGGTCCATACTATGTCTTTCAGAAATTGATGATACGGTCGACTATATTAAAACCGGTGCATCGAGGCCTGCATCGTTTTGGTTGGGATATTGAAAATCGCAGAACTGCATTCTCAATAACCTCTCGAAATGCTTGCAAAGAATATTTAAGTTCTTGGCAATTGTTTACCATAGTAGAACTACAAATGATAGTCTTATTTTTTACCTTATCCAATATGGCGATAGTTCTTACATTTATAACCTATCTGTTATTCTTGTATAGTAGTGTTATTCACAATAAAATCCTATATCTAAAAATTGTCTTTACCTCTGTTAGTATTTCTATATAACCCATAATAAATTGTTCCATCGATAGCAAACCCCAAGTCCCAGCAGACGCCAACATTTACATAAGAAAATTGAAAGTTTTCAGCACGATACATCATTTTGTCTGGCGCATAATAAAATTCTTTTCTGTAGAGTACATTCACTTATTTTACCGTCGTCGTACCTGTCCTGCAATTTATATACTGAAACTTTAAGTTAAACAACGACAATCGCAATGTATTTTGAAATGCAGACACGTGAATATATTTTAAAAATGTTTTTTAAACTTTTTCTATTGCTATACTGAAAATATAATAAACTTTAATACTATATTTTATACATATACCAATACCGACCTATACGGACGCTATGGACCAACTGGCTTTTGCCACAGACAGTGACAGACACACAAAGATTATAAAACTGCCTGAACTATTTTATATATATATAATCGTTAAATATTTTCAACGTTACGATTGTAATTATTTCATAATAATTAAATTCTTTTAAATGCATAAAACGACAGTATATTTCATTGTTACCTATAATTAGAAATAATAGTATAAATGTTTAACTAAAAAAATGAAAGTTTAGACGCCTGGAACCTCAACCAGGAACTAAATCAGCAAAATAAGCTTTAATATAATTTTGAAAGGCGCCAGCTTGTCAATAGGTACTCAATACATGTGTGAATAATATAATGTATAACTATAAATCCAAGATTTTAATCAAAATCTAGCAGTCTTCAAATATTTAATATGTACTATGAAGAATTTCGTTCTTCATAGTACATAATTACACTTCATAATTCAACGAAGAACTAAATTGCTGTGATAGATTCATTATGATAGATCTGTAACCTAAGATTTGGTAAGTTTCGTAAATATATAAGTAAATAATTAGAAGGGTAAACCAAATGTTAGCAATCATCGCAAACTTGAAGCCAAAGTGAGCCCTTTATTTTTTTCCACACTCATAAATAGTAATATAGCATTCTTGTTTCCGATAAGGTCCAAAAAGGTCGAATATACTTGTATTGAAGTGTCACTTAGATTTAAGAGCCCTTAAATTAGCCAAGTTAGTTTTTGATTAGCGTCGAAACCCCACTAACCCTAATTTTCAGTTATAACTAACTTATATTTTAAACGACTAAAGCTAGTTGACACCCAGCTTCAAACAAATGTTTCATTTAATATATATTTGAAAATCCCTTCAATAACCGCCACCGAACTAAACTCGATTAATAATTTAATTCAGAGTTTCTAGCCATGAATTAAATAAAATTCCGTTCTAATAAACCTATTTATGAATCCTATCTCTTATTCTTCGAATTATTGGGACGGAAAAAATCGGGATTTGTAGGATTCTAAAAAGGATTTAAATTTTTATTATAATTTATTGGTGCTATATTTAGGACGAGATAATTTCTTGTTGTTAACGTCTTGTTTGGGTTCGCTTGCGACCTATTATTATCTTATGAACTCTAACCTCGCTATAATGTGGTAAAAACAGAATATTTATTTATACGTCTTACCCTGATGTCTGGACATAACACGTCTCTCCAAAGAAGAGTGTTGTTTTTCCGTTTCATGTTCTGTGTTCAATTTATTAATGTCAGAAAAAAATTAATCAGAATCATAATACATTTACTGCCAGTTCTCCAATCAAATAACACAGATGAGAACTGGCAATAAACTCTCACTCTTTTAAAACGCCAAGGTGTTTTTACATAATGTTTGTAAGCACCTGCAACCATTATATCACGTTCCTCATCACATGCCTGTAGTCCAAGAGTAGTCAGTAATAGATGGTAATAGTAGGTAGTGGTAGTAGCCGGTGATAAGATCTGTATCAGGTATCACACCGTGACGTTATATATTTTATTCATAAATAAATAGACGTTAGTGGTTACTGGTTATACTTACTACCGTGAACCGTAAACGCTTAGTTTCTTTTGATGGATTGCTAAATTATATATATATATTAAATATTTCAGATTTAAAGATATAATGTGCTATTATTATTTTAAAAGGCGTTATGAATTTACTTTTGTAATTAACAAAGGTCACATCATCTGTATTAAAACACTTTTAAATCAATGAACGTTTAATAGATTTCCAGCCAGACTTTTTGAGGTGCCTACAAACGAAGCACTTAATTTTTAGCCAAGAATCAAAGCCAGGACCGGACGGTAAGACCTCCTCTACGTTATACGGTGATAGCACAAATATTAAGTAGCACCGTGAAAGAGCATTCAAATAAAATATATATGCATTGAATGTTCTTGTAAATCTAGCGTCGGCAATTTGAGTCAGTGAAGTCTCAAAGGTAAAGATGTCTTAATTAAAGTTTCGAAATAAAAGTCCCATATGGAATTGTAAGCGTTTATATGAAAACCTTGTTACTTTTTATATAAAACAATTAAAGGAAAGAGTAAAGAGTGTGCAAACGACGATGATAAATGTAAAATGCTAGACGTAATTGTGACGAGTCGTAAATTAGT